TTTCTTCCTTCCTTCCTTCCTTCCTTCCTTCCTTCCTTCCTTCCTTTCTTTCTTTCTTTTTCTTCCTTTCTTCCTTTCTCTTTCTTTGTCGAGCATGTATTAGATAACATACACGTATAAACATGGTTATGAATACATGAAACGGACGAGAATAAAAAGGAAAGAGCGGGACAGTAGACACGTTGGTGCTCTTAGGCACACCCCTTAAAAACCCGTTAGGTACGGGGTGATGTCCGTAGTAGACGGTCTAAGGTTAAAGTTTTGGGGGTTTGAGGATGTAACAACGGAGTCAGGAAGTGAGTTCCGGGCATTGACCTCTCTGTTGCTGAAGTTGTATTTCCTGCAATCGAGTTTGGAGCGGTTTACTTTGAGTTTGTATCTATTGTGTGCTCATGTGTTGTTGTGGTTGAAGCTGAAGTAGTGAATGACTGCTTAGTAGTCAATTGAGTAGCCCGTTTCCATCCCACCAAGGATCAGTAATAGCTAATGATGCACTAGCACTGATGATATCACCTAGTTGGGTCATGAAACGTCTGCAAGAAAACAACCCAGCTCAGAGAGCACCAAGGACCCCCAATAACTGAGTTGGAAGGGACCTTGGAGGTCTTCTAGTCCAACCCTTGCTCAAGAAGAAGACCCTATACTCAATACTCAAATGATGTATGCCAACGTTCATAGTACGAGCAACTTACATCAAGAGCTTCAGATTCTAACGTATGAGGGCAAGGAGGGCATTGTAGCTACAACTGGTACTAGATGGGATAGAAACTGTGACCAGAACACACAACTAGAGGCTATAAACTGTTCAAAAGGAACATGAAAATGCATCTCAGTACAGATTAAACCAGCAATTATTTATGAACTATAATACAAATTAAGGGTATGGTTCTTTTGAACAGTTGAACAGACCAAACAAAACAAAACAGAAGGACGAGGTTGCTTTGAACGGAAGGAATTGTTGCATCTCTGCAGAAGAGAATCAAACAGGCAGCGCTCTAAATGTTTCATTTAGTAACTGTTCAAAGTTAAACGGGGCTGGGGAAAAAAATGACTTACTTGCAGGACCGTTTTTCACACTTACGACTGTCGCGGCATTCCCATGGATCACCGTCACACAGTCAATCGATCAATCAATCGTGTATGGTCAATGCACAACATGTGTCATGGAATCCCACCCACCCAGCGTTATTTTTAACCCTCCCCAAAAGTTTAGCACGTGTGCTATTTCATTTCAAAAGCAATTTCTCCTCCCCCCCACAACCAACCCCCCCAGGGCTGAAATAATGACATGAGCAAAATATGTTGGCTTGGCTGGCTTGGTTGGCTGCCCACACATCAGTGAGAACTAGTGAACTGATTCTGAGTCATTTGCTGAGTGTGTTCCTTCTGGGTTTCCCACGGTGTTTTAGGGAGCGAAATTAGGGGAAGCCGCTGCTAATGGCATCAGAAAAATCAGAACAACAAGAGTTGGAAGGGAGTTTGGAGGTCCTGTAGTCCAGGGGTTGCCAACCTTTTGGACCTCAGGGACCACCACTCATTATTTTAAATCCCGCGGGTCAGAGATCCTGGGAAAATCCCAAATGTCTGCAGGAAAATTCCCCACCCCGATTTCCTACCGATCGATCATTCTTTATTTGGGATTGCAGGATACCATCTCCAGCTCCGTTCTCGGGGGGGCGGGGGGAGAGAAAGAGAGAGAGAGACAGAGAGAGACTTTTGGCTTCATGCAAGGAAAGCAGCAGAAGCAGCAGAAGTCTTTCTTTCTCTCCCCCAAACTCTGCCAAAAATGAGTCTTCGCTGGCACAGCCTCTTGGAGCAGGAGGCCTTGCAGAGTCTCAAAGACTCATTTCTGGCGGAGTTTGAGGGGAGAGAAAGAAAGACTTTTGCTGCTTTCCTTGTGTGCAGCCAAAAGCAGAAGAAGAAAGAAGCAGACAGAAGCAGCCAGTGGCTAGGCCAGGTGTGTGGGGTGTGTGGGGCAAGTTCCCCCCCTCCACCCTTTCCCCCCTCCCCTCACTACCTCATGTTGTTTGCAATGCAAGCGACGCAAGCCTTGTGTTCCCGCGGGCCGTGTGGGCAGCGTAGCCTTGTGTTCCCGCCCAGCCTGGATTAATTGCTTTGGGGGGGGGAGATTTCTCTGTGGACCACCTACCACTCATTTCCTTTGTTAGCCAACGATCCCATCCCCAAACTCTCATGGGGTTTGAGTGATTCTTTCAGACCACAATGCCTATCTTCCACATTCAGGGAGATTGAGGAGGGGGGGGGGAATCTCCTCCCCTGTGCCTGGAGGACCCCCAAGGCTCATCCACCCTGCAACGATTGTTGGCCGAACGGAAGAAATACAAGAAGAATCCCAGCCATGAGATCTTCAGGGAATGAGTTATGAGTGGGTCAACGAAAGGACACCATGAGTGGGAACGAAGTCGCTGATAAAAATTTTGCTTTCCCTTCGCAAAACTCTTATTTATTCCTTCAAAGCTGGATGGGATTGTAGAGTGGTTTTGTTTTGTTTTTAAATTCCCTTCCTTTGAACAAGCAAGGGAAATCAAAGAAGAACCGTCTGCATCCAGAGGGTTATCTTCACACTCTCCAAAGCCTTGGAGATGACAATTTGATTGCATTCCATTGACCTTCTCTTACTCCTCCTCCTGTTTTTCTTTCTTTCTTTCTAATCTACAATCTGGCTAGCAGCTAAGCTGAAGATGCCAGTTCTCCTAAAAAACTTCAAGAAACAAGGCAAGGAGGCCAACAGCAGAGATCTTCAGCTAAGGGCACAACTCTTACTCCATTAACCAAGAACATTCTTAGGAGGGGTAGCAGAAGGGGAGGATTTTGCTGACTCTGGCGTTTATGGTGTCCCTCGAACTAGTCCTTGACCTTAGAAACCTCAGACAAGCTAAGAAAGAAAGAAAAAAAAAACCCTGGGTTGAACGGGCCAAACCCACAGACTGTACTTCTCTCCCATGCAAATCTCTTATCTCCCGTGCCCTTACGAGTGTGAGGCAGACCGTCTAGGAGTTATGGAGCTCGCAGTGTTTGTTCTGTGGGCATTAAGGGGGAGAATTTTATCGGCGGGCCTCCAATTAGGATTATTATGCGGTGAAGTGGGAGGCAGAAATAGCTCTAGCTATTTAGAGGGAACACCTGGGAACGAAGAAGAAGGCTTGCGTGCAAAGATCTCGCCTAATTTTCACCCCTGGCAGGGCTGCAAGTTTGTGAGAAGTTGAGCCATGTGCCCCGGGTGTTACGAGGCAACACACTCGTGCTCATTTTAGCACGGCCCGGATGAAAATAGAGTGTGTACTTGCAACGTTTCGTCCCAATGTGCTTGTCCACATTGCACTTTTATCCCTTTAGAAAATTGATATGGCCATCCAACTCACTCTGGGGCAGATTAAAGTGCTAAAATGCCAATATAATATATATATATCTCAATAAACACCCCACCCCTTTGCTGATAACAATCGAATCAACCATTTGATGGACCCCATGCATTGCTCTGGGGTCCCCAAGTCCGTTGGAAAAACCATGTTTTTAGGGTTTTTTTTTAAAAAAAAGACAATCAAAGTTGGGGCCATTCTTATCTCTTCAAAGATGATCTTCCACAGGGTGGGAACCACCATGGAGAAGATCCTTCTTCTTGGTCTCACTAGATGGACCTTCTTCGGAGAGAAGTCCCTTAACATTCACTGCTCTGGTGGGTCAAGTAGGAAAAAATGGTCCTTCAGATCACTTCCGTTGGGTTGTTCCCTTGCCACCATCTTTTCCACCATGTCAAAGTTTATCCCAGTTAATACGATAGCCAAAAAAATAGTTACTGTATTCTCTAGGGTTAGGGTAGAAGTCGTGTATAAGTATAACAATGTGGTCGCATCAACCTTGCCTTTGCTTATTGGTTTTGTTTCGTGGACTGGCTTTTGGGGTCAGTCCAACCCATGGAGGAGGTGGTTATTTTAGTAACCAGCATCAGATGCCGGCCAAAATGGAAAGGGTCGAAAATGAGCCAAGACAGCAATGGAGATCAAGAGGTCAGCAACCCACAAGCTTGGCATTAATTCAGCCCACAACTCAATCTTGGCCACCCTTAGACTTCATTTCAAATTTTGACCTCGCCGGCTGGGAAACTGGAGGATTACTCTCCCAATAAATTAGAATATGGCTTTTAAAAAAAAAGAAAAACCACTGAAAGGGAAGGAAAATAAGCTCAAGAGAGACATTCAGTAACTCAGGAAGCAAGTAATATAGAAAAA